GAGTGAATATTTTGGAATGAACTCTATATATTTTTGAAGAAAAATGTACGTTCTACAAAAAATGTCTCCTATAATTTTTTCGTAAATTCATTCCTTTAATAGTTATTCAAGGTTGAAATTAGACGTATAATAAATGTAACATTTAAATAACACAGGAATTTTTTTTTTTTGAGTGGACATATTGGCACGAGCGATAATTTTTTAAAGAAACATAATTTATATAAAATTTTCAAAAAAGATTATACAGGGCGGTCCAGTTTGTGATACATTAATTTTAAGGTAGACTTTCATTAATTAACATTTCTCAAAAATGTTTCCTAAGGAAAATACAGGTCGTCAAAGATTACAAAAAAACTAGTTTTCTCGTTATAACTTTTAAACCACAACATTAATTTTCATCAGATTTGGCACAAAATGTAATATAGTCAGTGCCTTAATAATAATGTGGGGGGACTTCTCCCATTTTCACCTCAGTCTTTGACGCCACTAAAAATTTTAAAATATTAAATAAATTTGTAGGTCAAGTTTTTAATTTAGAAAAATAATTTACTCCTGTAAAATTTTGATTTGGGTCTTTGTTTCTGAAATATTTGCTCAAAAATGTTTTCTCGCTTTCCGTCAAAGTTTATAAATAAAACTCGTTTCCCCATCATAACTTCTAAACCACTTAATCAATTTTTATCAAATTTTGTACACAATATAGTCAATGTCTTAGTAATGATGTGGATAATTATTTAAAAAAACATCAGTTGCGCAATTACTTGGGGGGCTGCTCCACTTTTCACCTTAGGCGCCACTGGAATTTTTTTTAATAATAAACACATTTTTAGATTATCTGTTTAATTTAGAGAAAAAAACTACTCATGTAAAATTTTGATTTAGTGCTTCATTTTTTAAATAATTAATTTATTTATCCAAGAATACTTTTGCCGCAGTTTTTTTGGAGTGAGTTCCCAAATATTTCAAAAACGAAGCCCTAAATTAAAATTTTAGGACAGTAGTTTTTTTTTTCTCTAAATTGAACAGACAATCTAAAAATGTAATTTTGCGAGGAAACATTTTTGAGCAAATATTTTAGAAACCAGGCCCCAAATCAAAATTTTACAAGAGCAAATTTTTTCCATTAATTAAAAACTTGATCTAAACATTTATTTATTATTTTAAAACTTCCTGTGGCGTCAAAGACTGAGGTGAAAAGGGGAGCAGCCCCCCAAGTAACTGCGGCACTGATTATCCACATCATTATTAAGGCACTGACTATATTACATTGTGTGCCAAATTAATTTTGTGGTTTAAAAGTTATGAAGAGAAAACAATTTTTTTAAGGAAATGTTTTTTTATGAAAGTCTACCTTATTTTTGATGCTTCATCACCTATTAAAATTAATGTATTACAAACTGGACCATCCTGTACAATAATGAGTGATAAGGTTTATTATTATGCCACCAATTGGAAAAAAAAAACGTTAAATTTATTATATGTCTAATTTCAACCTTGAATAACTATAAAAGAAGTGAATTTATGAAAAAAATATAAGAGACATTTTTTGTAGAGCGTTCAATTTTCTTTAAAAATATGTGTCGCTTATTCCAATATGTTCACTCAAAAACGAGTTACAAAATTTCAAAGTTAAGAAAAAAGAATTCCTGTGTTATTTAAACGTAAAATAGAAATTCACGATGAGCGACCTCTAAATATTAATATTAAGAGCTACAATTTTCACAGTCTTCTTTTTTTACTACTAGGAAGATATTTCAATGCGGGCTTTGAAGAAAAAAAAATATTCGATTTTTTTGAACCAGTCTAATGTATATGTGTGTATGTAAAATATTATTAGTTTTATTTTGTAATTATATAATTAAGAATTATACATGGTGTTCATAAATAATGAGACAATTTAATTTTAAATATAATTTTAAGAAAATACATATAACCCTGATAGCAAAATTTGATTCTAAGAATCTTCTAAGAAGATACGACTCGGAATAATGGAATATTCTTAGAACCTTCCCTTATTGCTAAGAATGTTCTTAGGGACTTTTAAAACATTCAATAGATACCCTTTTAATTATGCAAGTAGATTCTTAGAAGCTTCTTAAAACCTTCCTAAAAAGCATTCTAAGAACATTTTAAGAATACGTTTTTGGAATGTTCTCAGAAGGTTTCTTATGGAGCTTCTAGGAAGCTTTTGAGAATATTTCCAAATATTCTACATTCGTAAAATTCTTCAGGAGGCGACAAATACGCCTCACTGTCATAATATGAAAGTAAAATGTATTTGTCTTCCCTTAAAAAAATTTGCGACATATTAATATATATTTATTTAAAAATATTAAATAAACAATTTGACCTCTGAACCATAAGTTGTATGACATTATTTCATAAAAAGTAAAATTGGAAAATTTTGTGGGATAAGTCAGATTAGATTGAAGTTGATAATAGTAGGATTATTATACATAAAAATGTTAATTCAGAAATAAAAAATCGGTATACAAATTAATAAATATTTATTTTTAACATAAAATAAAATACCTAAAAAGTATTTTTGTTATCTAATATTGTTTTAATTTGATAAATAACTATAAAAAATATTTTGGGTTGTTTTTTACTTAGTATTTAATACTAATTACTTTCTCAACATTCTAAGCATATGTTTAGAGTGGATTAATTTTTACCACTAAACTTTGCACCTTCTAAGAACCTGCCTAGAGGCCAGTGAGAATATTCTTAGGATTATGCTATATTTCTTTTAAGCATGTTCTTTAGAAGAAATATAGGATGATCCTAAGAATATTCTCACTGGAAGGTTTAAAAAACATTCTTGGAACATGCCTAGAAGATATATAGCATGATCCTAAGAATATTCTCACTGGAAGGTTTAAAAAACATTCTTAGAACATGACTAGAAGTAATATAGCATGATCCTAAGAATATTCTCACTGGAAGGTTTAAAAAACATTCTTAGAATAAACTGTGCTATCAGGGAAACGTCTTTGATTAATTAAATAAACAAAAAAATAATATATTTTAAATAAAAATTTAAAGAATCTAAAATCGATAAAAGTTCAAAAACTCACATATAGAAAAAAAAATAAGTTTGGAAATTTGTAAAATAATAAAAAACATTATTTAAAATTATTTAATAATTTGCAAATTTTAATAATTTTAAGGTGTTGTTTTTAGATTCCTTCTTTAAAATTAACCCCTTTATATATTTAATTAATTTTAAAAATCTTAAAATAGTTAAGTTTTACAGTTGAAAATATTTATGCCGGAGTAAAACAAAATAGACATCATAATTGAACAACTGGCTCTTGGAAATAAGCAATATTAAACATTTCAAATATAAAACCATTAGATACTTAATTTTAAAAAACTGTAAATTCTTTTTAAAAATTCAATAGCTAACCTTCTTAAAGTTCCTTACACTGTCAGCTAATTTACCCATAGTGTCAATACAAGTACCTATAAAAGCTTCGACAAAATTTTATCTACATCGAACAATCATTAGGTATAAATAACCTTATAAATTCTAAAATTTAAATAAAACCACAGTATACTCCATCTAATATTTTACTTGTAGTATTTTTTCTTATCCAGCTTAAAGTATACCTACATAAAGTTTTGTCAATACAATTACTTATAAAGCTTCAACTGAATTTTATCTTCATCAAAAAATCATTATAACTTTTAAAAATTTCAAAAATCACATGTTATGGGAGTATTAAATATTTTTACATTGCATGTATCTCTAAAAGTTGTTAGTTTCCTTATAATCTAACTTAAAGTAGGGATCCCGAGGTATGCACAAGTTTTGTTGTTAGGAGTATAAAAGCTTTAATTTAATTTGAACCATATATATTCAACAATTATTTAGTATATCTATATTTATATGACCATATTAACACACTCTTCCAAATAATCCAAAATACTTATTTATTTTGATCAAAATAGATTTTTCTAACCTTAAAATTTCAAAATTAGATGATATTTTTTGTTATAATATATTAACCTACCTTTGATACAGATATTCTTATTCCATAATAAACAAGCTAAATTTTTTTAATAAATGCCGTTTAGTTAAAACTATTTAATGGATAAAACCAGATATATGTAGACCAAATGCACAAAAATTTTACTTATTTGGCACTATACACTTTAGAATTTCATAAAATGCAGTATTTATACTCCTAAACTCTTAAACCAACCATTGTTACTGTGCTACTATAAAGATTTATTAACTTTTAACGCTTAAACATAAATGGTAACAGTATAAATATTATTTCTTGCATTGACTATACTTTGACAGATACATAACCTGAAAAGCCTTAAATGACAATTTATCAAAAGACTGCGTTCCGTACTTGGTCACGTGGTGGGACTTTGAAGTGTGGAGCATAGTACCTATAGGTATACATAAATCGCGACCTTAAAACATACAGATAAATAAATAAATGCACATATTTTATGAATAGTAGGAGAAAGAGGATAATCCCCTTTTGACCAATGGTCGAACACAATATTTTATTCAACTATCGCAAGAAATTTAATGCAAATTTTATTTGTAATTCTCTCACATCTGACAACTGTCGAACCGTTTTTTTTTCATTTTTAACTTAAAGCTAACTTTAGTCCGTGGAAAATCATTATTTCGCTCACTTTTAACAGTCCACATTTTTTGCGGGTGTTAAATAAAATGTCAAGCAATAAATATTAAAACACCATAATATTATAACAAATAAACAAATATTGAAAGTTTGTTACTAAAATTAGCTGGTGCCATCTCTTCGGTTCTGGCTGTACTAAAATTATAGTAAACTGTAATAAAATCAATAAAACTATTTAAAATTAACTTAAATTACTGTTTTTGGAGTATATTTATGCACAATTGAAGACAAATAATTTCACTACCCAATCTTAATCGTCTTGAGTACTTAAATTAACAAGATTCTTAAGCATTTTTGCTGCCATCTTGTGTCGAATTTCTAAAAGAACATAACCTTAAATTGACCTTGCCAGGGTTAAAGGAGTCACGATTTTAGCGAATTTTGACATTTCCATTCTGTGCCGGTTAAGTGGAAGGTTGTTGCAATTTGTTGGTGTTGTAGATTGGAAAATTGTAAGTGTAAACAATAATTATTTATAAATAAGCCCTCATAAGGGTTTAGTAAATGTTAACTTGTCATTTGTTGGTTAAAAAAAGCAAAATTAGTTGACTATTTCCGGTAAAACGCCCGATTAGATTTGGGTGTACTAACATGGTTTTTTTGTTGGTTTACCAAAGTAATAAATTAAGTTTGTGTTAAATATTATTACGTAACAATTAATTAGTGTGTTTATTTTAGTTTTTGACGTTTTTAATTAAATTTATGTCATATTTAACAAGAATACGTTATTTTTGCAGTAAACCTTGCAATATGCCTATAAAAAGTATCTATGCCCGTAACATCTTTGATTCACGTGGTAATCCCACCGTTGAAGTCGACCTGATCACCGATTTGGGGCTTTTCAGGGCTGCTGTGCCCTCTGGAGCCAGTACTGGTGAGTTAAAATGCAATAAACAATAATGATTAATAATAATAATTACTTATCTATTAATAAATAATATGCAATTTTAATCTTTTGTAATCTTCAAATGGTCAGTTATTATTTGAATTTTTTTATATAGTTTTAATACTAATTAAGGGGTCCAATGCAAGAACCACCCCGACCCCATAAACTTATCTTATGGTTTGAATAAAATAAAACTTAAATTGGCATAGAGTTTGTCAATTGCAGCCTGGAGTAAATATACATTTTAAAAATATTAAATTTTTAAAATTTCATTATTTGGAGATACCTTGTTCTTGCACTGTACCCCTGAATTCTATTGTTTTAATTTAACAGGATGAAAAGTTTTTTATATTTACCTTTCTGATAACAAAATTTTATGTACCTAACATTTTTATGATTTTTTCTAAAACTATTATTTATATAATAATTTGATCTAAAGTCTTTTAACTTGTTGTGTTTTTGGGTGTATTTCGAGAGGTAATCCTGGGTTGAGTATTTACCAGTTTTCCCATAAACAGTGTTAATCTGAATGAAGAAATAAATTGCATACAGTCTCTGTAAATATAAATTGTACCTATTAGATACAATAAATACACATTTTAGTAGTGATTAACGTGAAAAGTGTAAACATTTCAGTTCAGTAAAAATCGTCAAACAAATAAGTCGTCTAAATTTAAACAGCATTTAGCATTATTAAAAGCGTTGATTAAGAATTCTTTAAAGTCTCCACTCAACGGTAAAATACCATTATATTATGGATTATATATAATATTATGTTGCCATGAATTCGTAGGTATATTTTGTTGTTTAAAATGCAGCGTTTTTAAAAAAATATAAAAATGGTTGATTTTAAGGTTATGTTTGTGCAAAAATTATTGTTTACTAATTTCTTAAAAATGTCTAAACTTAAATATAAATTATATTAGGTAAAGTTATCATTAGTTATTTCTGCACCAACAAATATACTTACCGAATTGGATACTTTGGCAAAACATGAAAATGCAACGATTTAGTTCTTGAATTTTATTTACAATTAAAAACACAATAATTCACCATGATCCCTTAGATAAAATACACACACTAACGTAACTATATAAGCATTTAAGCGTTGAGTTTCATAATCAATGATATAAAGAATAATCAATCGAAATCGAGTACCTACTAAAAAGTTTTTTAATTTTTTCTTGCAAGAAAATTTGTTGAGTTAGACTTCTGCCTTCCTCTCTTTTGTGAAAAAACTACCTATTTATTTAAAAATGATGTATAATCGGTGCTTTAAATGTATTATTGACAATTCTTAAATTCACGCAATGCTATCGAAGTCCACCAGATGGCGTGCGCGTTGAGAAACCCCGATACTTCTTTAGCGTATAACTTGCACAAAAAAGGTTTAAAACTCATATTTTTGTGTTTTTAAGGTGGCAGCACAAAATTTTTAAAATTGCTTTAAAACATTGTTTTTTGAGATTTCCATAAAAAATATACTGTATTAATCAATAATGACAGTATCTTTTTTATGGAAATCTCAAAAAACAATCTTTTAAAGCAATTTTAAAAACTTTTTATTTCAAATTTCGTTTTGCCAACTTAAAAAACACAAAAATATGACAATTTGCAAAAATATCAACTAATTCACAATTAATAAATCTGCATGTACTATGCTCCACACCTCAAAGTCACACCACGTGACCACGTTCGGAACGCAGTCTTTTGAAAATTTGTCATTTAAGGCTTTTCAGGTTATGTATCTGTCAAAGTATAGTCAACGAAAGAAATAATATTATGTTTAGGCGTTAAAAATGTATAAATCTTTATAACATTACAATAACAATGGATGGTTTAAGAATTTAAGAATATAAATACTGCATTTAATGAAATTCTTAAGTGTATGGTGCCAAATAAGTAATATTTTTGTGAATTTAGTCCAAATATTTGGTTTTTTTCCATAAAATATTTTAACTAAACAGCATTTATTAAAAAAAATCTAGCTTCTCTATTATGGAATAAGAATATCTGTTTTAAAGGTAGGTTAATATATTATAACAAAAATATCATCTAATTTTGTAATTTTAAGGTTAAAAAAATAGTATATATATATAATAATAAGTATTTTGGATTATTTAAAAGACTGTATAATATGGTATTTAAAAATGTGATATTTTTTCTTATCCAGCTTAAAGTGTACCTACATAAAGTTTTGTCAATACAAATAGCTAAAAAGCTTTGACTGAACTTGATCTACATCAAAAAATCATTATAACTTTAAAAATTTTAATAAATCACATGTCATGGGAGTATTAAATATTTTCAGATTGCAAGTTTCTCTAAAAAAATTTTGTTTTCTTAAAATCCAACTTAAAGTGGGTATGCCGAGAGGTATGCACAAGTTTTTTCATTAGAAGTATAAAAGCTTCAATTTAATTTGAACCATATTCAACAATTATTTAGTATACCTATATTTATTTATGACCATATTAACACACTCTTTCAAATAATCCACTTATTTATTTTGGTCAAAATAGATTTTTCTAACCTAAAAATACAAAATTAGATGATATTTTTTGTTCTTATACATTAACCTACCTTTGATACAGATATTCTTATTTCATAATAGAGAAGTTAGATTAAAAACTATTTTATGGAGAAATACACAAAAATATCACTTAAATTGCACCTTACACTTTGGAATTTCATTAAATGCAGTATTTATATTCCTAAATTCTTAAACCAACCATTGTTATTGTGATACTATAAAGATTTATTAACTTTTAACGCTTAAACATAAGCGGTAACACTATAAATATTATTTATTTCATTGACTATACTTTGACAGATACATAACCTGAAAAGCCAAATGCCAAATCTTCAAAAGACTGCGTTCCGTACGTGGTCACGTAGTGGGACTTTGAGGTGTGGAGCATAGTACATAGGTATGCATATATTTTTTAAATATCAATATTTGATGTATTTTTTGACTCATAAGTCTGTATAGAAAAAAATGTTAACAGGTAAAATTTAAATTTTTTACTGAATAACAGTTCCAAAAACCTGTTCACCTGTTTTTTTGATTAAATTGTATTTTGTGTGTTTAGTTCATAAAAATAATTTATTTAAAAAACATTATGTAGATTTTTTAAATGATTTTAAGTGTCTTTTTGCAACTTTTATATTGCACTTGTTTTCAACGTTTAAATTTTGAACGTAATTTTTTCTAACGATCAACATTTTGTTCTTCGTTTAGGAGTCCACGAGGCCCTCGAACTGCGCGACGAAGACAAAAGCCAATACCATGGCAAATCGGTCTTCAAAGCCATCGACAACATCAACAAAATCATCGCGCCCGAGCTGCTCAAGTCCGGGCTCGAGGTCACGCAGCAGACCGAGATCGATTGCTTCATGAACAAGCTCGACGGCACCGAGAACAAGTCGAAGCTGGGCGCCAACGCCATCTTGGGCGTTTCGCTCGCGGTGTGCAAGGCCGGAGCCGCAAAGAGAGGCATCCCGTTGTACAAGCACATCGCCGATCTGGCCGGCAACAAGGAGATCGTGTTGCCCGTGCCCGCTTTCAACGTCATCAACGGCGGCTCGCACGCCGGCAACAAGTTGGCCATGCAGGTGAGAACTTTTGTCGACATATCAAAAACTGAGTAAGCCAGGACTTAAGGGCAAATTTTCGTTAAATGTACATTTGCTGTCCCCAGCTAATTTTATTTTTATTTTTGACCTTTGTTGACAAGGTTTGTATTTATTATATTTAAATACCCCCTTCCTGTTAGGACCCATCGTATTTTTTTTAAATTACTTTATGTTTCTACATATGGCAGAAAAACTAGGTGAAATGTCCTGTAACCTAACTGTCCCCAGAGGCGATTTTTTAATTTAAATTATTATATTCTTCTTCTTTGCAGCCTTCTTCTGAAAAAATAAATTATTTTTGAACAATGGAAAGTTCTTTTATTCGTTTATAAAAATAAAATAGTTTTCTACAAAAAAAAAAATATTAAAGTTGACATTCAAAAATCTTTTTCCTAACGTCGTCTTCTATGCCGACTGCTTCGAAATAGAGACACGAGATAGAGATACTATCGTGTTATTTCTAGAGGGCATACATGTTTGATAGTTCGGCAACAACAAGTGAATTTTTTTGTAAATATTTTAAAGGTAAAATTTTTTTGCGTACACTTTTGGTGTCTTTTACAAAACGATACATACAACTCTTGTTTTAGAAGTTTTCTTTTTTATTTTCATTTTGTATTATAGCATAGTAGAAATTCCAAACAAACGCCGAAAGATATTTACATTTAACAGTATTTCTGAAAAATAACGTTTGAAAAAGTCAAAAGCAATGTGTCATAAAACGTTCAGGAAGATGCGTTAGGAGGAGGACAATGTTTCATTTCTTCCTTGTGTTCCTTCCCTATTTCAGATTAACCCTATAAGTTTTATTTCTTTAAAGTTTATTTTTGTTATTTATTAACTTATAGAATTTTTTTGCAGTATCACAAAGGAAAAAAAATCGATCAAATTGACCTGCCTGGACAAAATATATATAAAATGTACATTTAACAAAAATTCGCCCTTAATCCTGGAAAAGGCGGTAAAAAACTATAGCGAAAGTTTAAAGTGACAGAAAAAAAACGGAAAAATTTGGGGAAAAAACAGTTTTTTCCGTTTTTTTCCAGGCCTTGGAAAAATTATTTTTTTGGGAAAAATTGTTTTTTTTAATCAACAACTTATACTCATACTTATATTTTAATTTAAAAAAAAATATCCTGAAGGATAACAAATTTATAGAGATGGGAAAATTCCCATTTGACGAAAATTCTCGAAATTTCCGAAAGTTTAAAAAAAAATTATCGACTATAATTACACAAGAGCTTATTTTTAGCCGGATAAATTTTTGTTTTCCTTAAAAGCTTGTTACCTAGCAATTTGACAAGAAAAAATGTCATCAATCAAAATTGCGAGACCGTAGGTCGAGCGATTTTGTCAGATGACATTTTTTCGAGTCAAATTGCTAAAAGGTAACAAGTTTGAAAGTTAGAAAACATAAATTTATCCTGCCAGAAAAAAGCTCGAGTGTAATTCGACGGGATAATTTTGTGATTAATTTTTTTCATATTGCATGCCCAATCAAGCAAAATATTTGCTAAATCTTGCTGTGATATTGAGTCGAGTAGTTTGTAATTCCTCGCATTACAAAATGCCATATATTGTCGCCAAATTGACGCTTTATTATTAAAGAATTATTTGGGATACTTTTTACAATTTGTTCTTTATTGTTTTTCGCAGGAAACGACACCAAAACGATTTATTTTAAAAGATTTTTTGACACCTGCTATTAAAAAATAATTATTTGCAAGGTTGTCAAGGAAATGAAATGACACGAGGTAAATAAATAATTATCCACTTGCAAAAGTTACCTTCCTTTTTATCCGTTATCAAAGTGACTTAAATGCCATTCAACTACGACGTTTTCATGTAAGAAACAAATTATCGAGGAAATGAATTTTTTGTGACAGGAGGATTACAAAAATATATAACAAATTACCTTTTTACCAAATTTTATTTAGAAAAGTATAAAAAAACTGCTTATATGAATTTATACATAATGCATTGTATGCTGAAACTTAAAAAATAAACTGAAATTCACTACTAGTGAATCACTAGATATTACATGAAAAAATATTAAGGAACTAAAATAGTATTGCAGTTCTGACCTAGAAAAAACTACAGGCAAAATAAAATCAACATTTTTGACTACCATTACCCATACAAAAACAATTGCAAAAGCAAAAAACACATTTGGGAATTTTGTTCAAACCAAACAAAAATAAAAGTGTAAAAATTATAGCTTGGGAAAAAAAGTGTGGTTATGTAGGTACTAAAAAATACTTTTTTTATACGTATTAAAAAAAATGAAAAATTGATCAATATACAGGGAAAAACAAAAAGTTTATTTTTTTTCAATGGATCACCCTATATATGAATTTATTTTTCGATTCCTTGTAAAATTCTGAGCATAATTCATATAACAAACCATATCCTAAATTCAACTGTTTCTGAAATATTCGCATTCGAAATGTTATCATTAAATGTTTTTTTAAACTGTTAGAAATCACGAAACCTCAGTATACCAAAATTTTTATTGAAAATAAATTACTATAGTGACATTATGTCAATATGTCTTGTTAAATAAGTAAAAATGGCCTACTCAGACAGAGAAAGACGAACTATTTATCTTAAAAATAATTTAAATATTTCAGAAACGGTTGAATTTAGGTATATGGTATGTTATATGAAATTTTCTTAGAATTTTACAAGGAATTGAAAAATAAATACATATATAGGGTGATCCATTGAAAAAAAATAAACTTTTTGTTTTTCCCTGTATACTGATCAATTTTCCAATTTTCTTTATACGTAGAAAAAAAGTATTTTTTAGTACCTACATAACCACACTTTGAAATTTTTTCGGACACTTAAAATAAAAAAGTTAAAGGGGGGCGACATTATAGGGGATCACCCTGTACATTTAATTAAAAATGTTATTTTAAATGTTGAAAGTTTTTTTTCTATTGTTAACCCGATCCGTAGACACACTGTATAATATACAAAATATATTAAAAAAACAATATTATGTTATAGAAGTAAAAAACAAATTATTACCATTTTAAATACAATAAATATTGTCAAATTTGAAAAATATATTTCTTTTATGACCATGTTGGCGGTAATTGTTGTTGACCTTTTTTAATTTTTGCATAACTATAACTATAGACGCATAATGGCACATAAATTTCGTCGGAACTGAAGGTTCATATTTTTAAATGCACTAGGTGTCTTTGGGCAAGTAGGTTTATGTACGCTTTATTTTCGACAAATAATGAAATAATAATAATAATGAAAAAAGACATTTTAAAGTTGTATTTGTGCTCACCTTTATCTGTACTATAAATTTTTGACACTAATTTTTAAACTAATGTTTTAAAAATTGTGTTTTTGCCGCGTAAATTTACCTCTCAAACTAATGTGCGGCGTGCTATATATTTACCATTGGAAAAGGCGGTAAAAAAAACCATAGCGAAAGTTAAAACGCGTTATTTTTGTCTTGCAGGAGTTCATGATCTTGCCAACTGGCGCCACCAGCTTCACCGAGGCGATGCGCATGGGCAGCGAGACCTACCACCACCTCAAGAAAGTCATCAAGGACAAGTTCGGCTTGGACGCCACCGCCGTCGGCGACGAAGGCGGCTTCGCGCCGAACATTTTGGAGAACAAGGAGGGCCTGAACCTCATCACCGAGGCCATCGAGAAGGCCGGGTACACCGGCAAAATCGAAATCGGCATGGACATTGCCGCATCCGAGTTCTACAAGGACGGTAAGTTTGAGAAAATTTAGTGTCCCCCTGTATATGATTTGCGACAAAAATTAAATGGACTTTAATTCGAAGATCCATCTGAAAAAATTCGACGACGATTATCTTCTAGTATGTAAAACAACATTCTGTTACCCTTCGATTCGTGTTTTTTGTTTACCAATTCCCTTTTCGTTTTGGAGCAAAAGATTCTCGAAAATTTTCAACAAAAATTAAAAAACTCGAATCGTTTTTTTTTAAATAAGGATCGAATTACCGTTCCAAAGCAACTTTTTACCAGATTTGGTCGAAAAGTATTTATTCAATTGATAGGGCACGAAAAATGGATATAAATTTTAGGGTCTTGAAGTTTTGGAAAAAACAGGAAAAATTGGGAAAAAACCTGTTTTCCGTTTTTTCCAGGCTTTGGGAAAAAAAATATTTTTTTGGAAAATATACACATTTTAAAAAGTATCAATCAACAACTTAACATTATTTTAATTTAAAAAAAAATACCCTTTGAATAAAATTTAAAAACTGAAAAAGTCAATTTTTCTGAAAATTTACCAGTTTTTCCGTTTTTTTTTGTGGAAAAAACCTTTTTTTTTCGCCGCCTTAATTTTTCCAGTAATTTTAAAATCCTAATAAATTTCAAATTGCCTCACTTAATTAATGGATGTCCCCTTACCAGAAACACATATATACTAAATTACCAGTCGTTTTTGTCGTCAGAGCGAACTAGGGCATTCTTCGCAATCTAATAACTGTTGGCCAACAAGCCTTGTAACATTGTTTGCACAATCCAGTGGTAGAATATGATAAACACAATGTATAACATTATTTATAATAATCTGAAACAAACGATGCTTACGAGGGAAATTTCAAAATTACAAAAAAAGTCAAATATAAAATGACGCTGACCCATCAATAATATTAACGGTGCGCGCCAGCGATAAGGTATTAGCAATTGGCACACACAAAAATTACTAAGTGAAAGGTTTTATTTTTATAATTTTGTAAAAAAAAGTTTTAAAACAGGAAAATTGTTACAGTTCTTGGTAAAAAATACGCAAATGAATGATATTTTTTTATTATTAACACATCAGAATTACGTCTTAAGCTTAATTTTCATGTATACATCCGTTTGTCCGTTTTTCAATAAAATCGTCCGATAGAAATGTTCTAATTTTCATGCATCCGTTTTTATATGACGTTTAACGGATTGATTTGGTGACAAATAAAAATTAAGGGTCAGTATATTCACTTTACTAAATTTACCTAATGCTTAATTGTCATAGTTATAATTAAACAATAAAGCCTAATTTTCATGTATCCGTTAGTCCGTTCATCCGGGAGCGCTCTTATTGGTCCAATTATAATTCGAAAATTATGACATTTTATCGGTCCGTCAAGTTTCAACTTCGTATGTCTGACAGAGAAAGTTAAAATAATTTTAACTCATCCGTCACTACACATCTGTTTTTGACGCCTAACGTTATTTGAAGATAATTTATTTTCAAATATTTTTATATTTTTTCAATAAGATTGTAAAACGGAAATATTACGTTCGTTATGTGAATAATGTTCTACTGTTATGTTTTTATTTAATAAGAATAACGGAAGAAAACGGACAAAAAAAAAATTAAATCTAGAACTAAAAGGCCCTGCTTTTTTAAACCTATACATTTTAATGTACATTAAAGCCAGCATATGGTGGATTTATGCAGCACAAATTAACATTAAGATTAACTTTAACATTAACATTAAGATTAAGATTAATTTAAAATTAATAGGAGGGTATTTATGCAGCAAAATTAGTAGCAAATTAAGCATGCGTATAAGTTAAAGTAATTTTGACATCTGACATTTTTGGTTTGTTTGAATTTTGTTTTAATCCCGTTTTAGCATCTGTTAAGTGAAATAAATGAAAACTACAAACTCCACGTTAAACAATAAACCAAAGAACACAATCATTAAATAAAAAATCAATCAGTCAGCAGTAAGTTTCATTTTATTTTCGGGTATGTTGGCATTACTGACACGGTTTATTTAAAAATTGCGCCGCAAACCTGCGCAGAAGGAATAAAAATTAACATTATCATTAAGAAGATAAAAGTTGGCCATCTCTTATGCTGGTTTTATGCAGCACAAATTAACATTAAGATTAACATTAAGAAGTTAAATGAACGTAATCCATTGGAAGCTTTTATGCAACACATTAACATTAACTTTAGCATTAAGAGATGGCCAACTTTTATCTTCTTAATGATAATGTTAATTTTTATTCCTCCGCAATTTTTAAATAAACCGTGTCAGTAATGCCAACATACCCGAAAATAAAATGAAACTTACTGTTGAATGATTGATTTTTTATTCAATGATTGTGTTCTTTGGTTAATTGTTTGACGTGGAGTTTATAATTTTCATTTATTTTACTTAACAGATGCTAAAACGGGATTAAAACAAAATTCAAACAAACCAAAAATGTCAGATGTCAAAATTACTTTAACTTATACGCATGCTTAATTTGCTACTAATTTTGCTGCATAAATACCCTCCTATTAATTTTAAATTAATCTTAATCTTAATGTTAATGTTAAAGTTAATCTTAATGTTAATTTGTGCTGCATAAATCCACCATTAATGTTAACTTAATGCTAAAGTTAATGTTAATGTGTTGCATAAAAGCTTCCAATGGATTGCGTTCATTTAACTTCTTAATGTTAATGTTAATCTTAATCTTAATGTTAACTTAATGTTAATTTGTGCTGCATAAATCCAGCATAACTTAGATACTTTTTAAGATACAAGTTATGATACTTTTCCAAAGTAATTAAGTTAAAGATACTTTCTGTCCAATATAAAAAGTATGTAAGATACTTTTAAGTATATATTTTTTTAAGATACTCCCAGCTTTGGTCCCAAAACATTTTTTTTAAATTTTTGCCTCAGGTAAATACGATTTGGACTTCAAGAACCCCAAATCCGACCCCAAAACCTACTTGGACAGCGGCAAACTGGGCGAAATGTACCAGGACTTCATCCAGAGCTTCCCCGTGGTAACCATCGAAGACCCCTTCGATCAGGACGACTGGGAAGCGTGGTCCACCCTCACGGGCAACACGCAGATCCAGATCGTCGGCGACGATCTCACCGTGACCAACCCGAAGCGCATCCAGACCGCCATCGAGAAGAAGGCGTGCAACTGCCTTCTGCTCAAGGTGAACCAGATCGGCTCGGTGACCGAGTCCATCAACGCGCACAACCTGGCCAAGGCCAACGGCTGGGGCACCATGGTCTCGCACAGGTACGGTTGCGACAGTTGAAATTTTCAAATGAAAGTTTCAACTTTGAAAGTTTTAACTTGAAATACACTAAATTTACTTCCAGTTATCTTAATTTAAGTTCTTAGTAAACGTTAGTTGCATATTAGGGTGGAGCGAATTTTTTTTTATTTATTAATTGATTTTTCCTATATTATTAATTTTTGACTAAAGGCGTAAAATGAATAAATATCGAAAAAATATTCCAATTTTTTAATATCTTGAGGTGGCGCATCAGTCTCGAAGTTTTGAAAATTCTAAAAAAATATTACTTCAATCAAATAGCATTATTTATAAATAAAAAGTTTATTTTAGTAAAATTAACGTGAAACCTAAACATATTTAATAGTAAATCATATGCTTTAAGTAACTTCAGGAGTGTTTGTTGGTAGAAATGAGATCTTCTTTTTCGCGAAAATACTGACATTTAGTATCAAAATTTGGTAATTATTTTCTGACTTTAATTCTTGTTCTGATGAAACCATCTCTTGCTTCCGATCCACAAACCGAGACTGAAGATTCAGTATACTGGTTATAACCAGTTTTACAAATCGTTCCACTGCTTGGGTGTGACAAGGAAATTTTTGGAAGTATAGGAAATGGTCACCCGAAGAAATCATATCGGTAATTTCTGTCATCGTATTTCATAGTCATAGGTGGTTCAGTTACCTTTTCTGTCACCCAGTGAATTAACTCGTAAAAATGTAATGCTTCATTATTTCGCTGAGGAAGCTTTAATTCCCGTAATCTCGAACATTTTGATTCTTTTCTCGCCTTTAATATTTTCGGTAATAGTAGTAATAGGTTTTCGGGATAAATATTTCGCTGTTTATTCTTTATAACCATAGTTATAAGGCCTTAAAGTTTTTTTGGAGGTGTAATGCTCTTTTAGTCATATTAAATATGTGAATAGGACCATGTTTGCACGTAGGCTTGGTGTTGATGTAAAACCACGTTGGTGCATACACTTTCATGATAAAAGTAGCCAATTCATTTAGGTTTTCTGATGGATTTGCTGTCCCCACATATAAACGAATAATCCTATTAGCATACGTCAGCCATAGGAAATGTGCTAGCTTTCCTGGATCTTTGTTAGCTATAGCTAACAAAAATCCTTATAAGGAAGTGGGAATTGTACCTTTAATATCTAAATTCAGCGAAATATTTATCCCGAAAACCTATTACTTACTATGTTACCTACAATATATCTATCGATCAGAGAACTAGCATTGCCGAAAATATTAAAGGCGAGAAAAGAATCAAAATGTTCGAGATTACGGGAATTAAAGCTTCCACAGCGAAATAATGAAGCATTACATTTTTACGAGTTAATTCACTGGGCGACAGAAAAGGTAACTGAACCACCTATGACTATGAAATACGATGACAGAAATTACCGATATGAATTCTTCGGGTGACCATTTCCTATACTTCCAAAAATTTCCGTGTCACACCCAAGCAGTGGAACGCTGTGTAAAACTGGTTATAACCAGTATACTGAATCTTCAGACTCGGTTTGTTGATCGGAAGCAAGAGATGGTTCATTAGAACAAGAATTAAAGTCAGAAAATAATTACCAAATTTTGATACCAAATGTCAGTATTTTCACGAAAAAGAAGATCTCATTTCTACCAATAAACACTCCTGAAGTTACTAAAGCATATGATTTACTATTAAATATGTTTAGGTTTCACGTTAATTTTACTTAAATAAACTTTTTATTTATAAATAATGCTATTTTTATTACTTTGATTGAAGTAATATTTTTTTAGAATTTTCAAAACTTCGAGACTGATGCGCCACCTCATGATATTAAAAAATTCGAATATTTTTTCGATATTTATTCATTTTACGCCTTTAGTCAACAATTAATAATATAGGAAAAATCAATTAATAAATAAAAAAAATTCACTCCACCCAAATGCATATTGATAAACAGTTTAGCTACCACTTTAATTTTATTTACCAGTTAAGGCACTTATCTGGACATTGATAAACCGGCCCTTAAAGTGATTGAAATTTATTGAAAGTTTCAATAAATTTCATAAAATTGCAGACATTTAGAAAATTTTAATAAATTTCATAACCTTACGCACAGGTCCGGGGAGACGGAGGACACCTTCATTGCCGACCTGGTGGTGGGGCTGTCCACCGGGCAGATCAAGACCGGCGCCCCCTGCCGCTCGGAGCGCCTCGCCAAGTACAACCAGATCCTGCGCATCGAAGAGGAGCTGGGGGCCAACGCCAAATTTGCCGGCAAATCATTCCGCAAACCTTTGTAAACTAGTCCCTGAATGTGCACTAACCTGCCACCAATTAAATCGTATGTTGAATAAAAAGAGCGTAGCATGTGCACTAGACGTACTTTTATTTATTTTTTTTTGGTTCAATAAATGTTATTACAAGTTTTTGATTTTTATTTTTTGAACTTTTATTTTTTTTGTTCAATAAATGTTGTCTACAAGTTTTTGATTTTTATTTTTTAAACTTTGCGAATACATTTTAATTAAATGATCTTTATAAAATATCAATATCAACTGTGCTGGGAAAGTTACTTCTGAAAAGTATCTAGTTACTTTTCCAAGATACTTTAAACAAAATAACTTAGTTAGGTACCTCTGGTAACTATAGATACTTAAAAGTATCTTTAGTTACAAGATACTTTAAAATTCCCCCAATTTTCTCTAAGAAAGTATTTAAGTTACTTTTAAGTATCTTTTATCCAAGATACTCCCAGCTCTGAATATCAATCAACACAGCATTCTTTACAGCACACTAGGTGCGTTAAGAATTGCGTGCGCTGATTTTTTTTACGAAAAATAAAAAAACTAGAAATTGGATTTGGAATAGGGCCAAAAAGTTGTATTTTGGCCAAACAAAAATTTCTATTTATAGTTTTTTTGTCTTTTACCAGGCGGCCATTTCAAGCGTACGTATAGGACAAATCACAAAACTGTTTTTATAAAAAAAATTGTAGGTAATTTATTATATATTATTTTTGCATCAAATTTGTCAAATATATAAAAATATATAAAAAAAATCGGAAGAAATATTTTGTAAAAGTCGAGATAATTTCAATAATTGACAGGTGTGGATGGGACAAGATAAATCTTTTTTTTTGTCCCATCGATGGGACCATACCTTTCAATTATTAAAATTATCTCTACTTTTATAAAATATTTCTTGCGGTTTTTTTATTTAATGGATAATGTAAAATTTAAAGCAAAAAACCGATTTACGGAGGATAGAATCAATTTTTTTAACACCTACATAAATGGTTATAAAATTTTTTTTTTTATATTTTATATTTGATTCGATTGCTTTGGATGTGTTTAATTTACTTAGTGAACTGATAATTTTAGTATGCTTTTACTACCTCAGATATTTGAAAACATAGGTTAACCTAGAAAGAGTAACAGTCACGGAGGATAGGTTTTAGAATTTTAAAACATTGTAAAAAATAATTAATTGCGGTTAAAAATCTGGAACTTGAGCTGTAATATCTACTTAATTATGAAAGATCAAAACACAATAAAAGTGTTGGTCAAACTTATTTAGTTTTTTTAAATATCACGGGGTAACACCATCGGGGGCATTACGTGAGATTCACCCATAACCTAATAAAAGAAGAATATTTTGGACAATTTTGATGCTAAAATATTATGTAATAAATTATCTACAATTTTTTTTGAAATGGTCTCAAGGCTCAAAAATTTGAAAAAAAATTAAAATGAAAATTTTGATTTGGAATACCGCCCAATATTATAAAATTGATAATGCAAAGATAATTTTTTAACTAAATGACCCGGTAAACTTCCACCTTAACACTGTAAAACGACACGGAATTGTTTTCACATTCGCTTAAATATCTCAAAGTTACCTTGAGAACTTTACTATATAAACTAATTTAAACAATTAAAAACTTTACTATTTTAACTAATTTCTCGCTAAAACAATTGAATGAATGAATTTGTGGTTATGTTTTTTTCATTTAATTTGAAGCGCAGCTACGAACGCCATCTATCCAACAGAGAAATCTTGTCTATGGTTGTTGATCTCTATCGTTATAGGTATATAATACCTACAATTTTTATGAGTTTCATGAAAAAATGTTTTAATAAATTGTTGCTACCTATAATAGTAATATCCTTTTTCTATGAGTAATATATTAAACATAAAATTACCCATGACGCACTAAACGCAAGTGTTCTTAAGTTGGTATCAATTGTGCTCAAAAGTATAAAATAACTCCATTATAGAAAAAAAATCCAGTGTTTTGTGTTTTATAATGTATTAATAACATTACTGTATTGATTTGTGTGCGAAAATTAATTTCAATTAACAATTTTGACCAAGATAAAGTTTTTAAATAGATAGATATGTTTTTAATCCAAAAAATTACTTACATTTTTAACATTATTTTGTGTTCCAAATGTACATTATATAATGTTTTTCTGTAGGTACAACATCAAAAAATATTTTTTTTATATAAAATATTCATACCACGGATTGTGGTCTTTTAATTGAAATATCAACCAACCTTAGATTTTGTTATGCGCATGCTCGGCGCAATCGTCATTTGTTTAAATGGCCGTAGCGTTTGATATTTAAGTAAATTTTCTCGTAAACGTAAAATCAACTCATTTTAAACCAGTAAAAATTGTTTTTTGGCAAAACAAAGTGTTTTGACGCGTGTTTTATGAGTTTGATGAACTTTTTGGCTGTTTTTAACCTGCAAAGAAAAGGTAAGTTATTTTTTCTTTACTGCACTACCTACATCAATTGCAGCAATATTGCTACATTGCAGTTGTTGAGCAACATGCAAAGTTTGTACAAGTTTTTGAATGGTTTTAATATGCAAAGAAAAGGTAAAGCTTTTACAACCTATTTAAAGTAGTTTTTTCTTTGTAGTTTTTATTCAAAATATAAATACTTATAAACCTATGCAATCAGTACAGTTTAAACGGATAATTTTTCAGTCTCCAATCCCTTTTCTTCGGCTTTATTTAACTTATTCTTTCTTCTACTGGTCCATAAAATGTTATCTTCTTGAAAATAATCCTCAATTTCACTCAAGCTGCGGCCTTTAGTTTCGGGCAGCATCAAATAAAGAAACAGGCTTGCCAACAGAGAAGAACCGCCGAAAATGCAAAAAACTCCCGATACACCCACGGTAGCTTTTAAAAGGGGAAAAACTTTGGCGATTACGAATAACACCAAATTAAAAGTCATGAACGTGAAACCGCCGGCTAGGCCCCGGACTTTGGCGGGGAAAAGTTCCGCCAACATGACTCCGGGGAGTATCATGAATCCCAAGGTGTTTGTTGCTACGTAAGTTAGCACCAAAACGGCGCTTATGTACGCGTTTGTAGAGCAGTTTTGCAGTAGTAGGACTCCTAGGCAAAGTGCTGATAGTGTAGTGCCAATTCCTGATGTTAAAGCTATGGTGCGTCTGCCCATGAAAACCAACAAAATACTGGCGATAATGGTGAAAATAAATCTCATACCGGCGGTTAGTACCGCGGCCAAAAAATGGTCTATTTCGTTGGTTTGTATGTGGCTTAGTATGTCTACAGCGTAGAATACTATCAGGTATGTCCCCGATAGAATTTGTAGTACGTTGAAAATGTTGATTATTATGAAAGGTTTAATGACTTCTTTTTTAAAGAAAACGCGGTACGTTGTTTGGGATTCTTGAAGTTTTTCATGCTTCATGCGTTCCAAGAGGTGTTCTGTTTCTTTGTTTGCCTAGAATTTAAAAAAAACCACATAGTTAATAATATTTGAATTTTTAATAATAGTTTTATAAAAACATGCTAAAAAGCATAGTAATTGGACATTTTATATAGTAATTGGACACATGGACCATAGTTATTGGACATACAATTTTTATATAAACATAACAACTTTACATCAAATAACATAAATTGTTAAATATTTTTTAAAGATAAATTGCTGTTTTAGGTAATTTTTTTTATTTCGTTTTTGTAAATATCATATGGGCGATTCCGTACTCGCGGGTGCAACATTTAGACTCACTTAAGGCTTCTTACTAAGAAAATAAAAACTCTTTTTAAAGAAATGACTGGTCGCAGGATTTCATTATAATCTGTTTTACAAAAATTAATATAAAAAACATTTAATAAAATGTATAAATAGACACAGGAGAGGTTCAAAGTGCTATCGCGGGTGCAACGAAATCGGCCCACCATTAAAGTTCATGAAGCTAGAATGAAAAAAGTCTGTTAATTATGGAATATTTATTAAATTATTTTTACATTCTCTAAAAGAATACAAAACAAACTAACTATTAACTTAAATAAAATTATTAAAATAAATAAATATTATAAATTATTCACTTTTTATCCAGTCGCGGGTGCAACATAAAATTATCGCGGGTGCAACACGTCTCACTGTAGTGAATATAAACATTTCCATGTAACTTTAAATTAAAGATATGAGATCATAGATGCTGTATTATCACTAATTAGCACTTTCCTATGTAACTTTAATAAATTATTTGTCTGGAATAGTCGGCGATTTATCAGCCTTAAGGTTTTCTTCAGAATCGCTGTAAACATCAGAAACGCCTAACTTTTGCGTAACTTTTTTTGTAACTTTTCTACGTTTTTTTTTTAGTAGCAGTTGTCAAAACTAATTTGCTTTTCAAATTAGACTTCGACGTTCGTGCAACACAAATGCTCTTACCCTCCTCAAATTGAAAAAAATGTTTTGATTAAATGGCTGGTATATTTTTTAGTCCTTTCCACCTATCATTTAACATGGTTTTTCATTCTTTAATTTGTTTTTGGGATACAAATATAAAAGAAATTTTTGGAGAAAAGCGACGAGCCAGATCATAAAATTCTTCAGCGTTGTTAACAATTGCTTTCCGAGCTCAATTATTAACCGCGGTTACTGATTTGACATTTTATGCAGTTACCGGTTACTCGCTAAAATAGAATGGTTTTAACTTTTTATTACCGGCAGGGCTGGATTAGGAGTTTTAGGGCCCTAGGGCCAACATTTGGTGGGGGCCCTCAATATTTTAAAAAATTTTGACACTTGGGAAATTAAAACTCGGTAAATTTTTAAGCTAGATGAACTTTATGTGATTTTTTATTATCCTTGAATCATTTAGCGTTTTTAAGCTATAAATAAAAAACTCATTTTTTTTAAACGAAACACCCTGTATCTCGATAATGAAGCATTTTCGGACACGTGTTTATAAGAACCTTTTTTCATATTTTGATGAGAGAAATTTCGCCTGGGCTTTTGTCACCACAAGTCTAAATCACCCTGTATATTTGGAATAATACGAACATAACCTTATATACATTTTACCCAAGTCTGAATAAATTATAAATTCGTATGCAAAACTATAAAAACGTAGAAAGTAGAATAGAATTGTGAATGAAAGTGTTTTTATATACTTTATATTTTATATATTTTGAATAATACGAATACGAATACATTTTAATCAAGTAAAATATAAATTGATCTATGTTTTGTTTGTATTTTTAATACATACCGCAAACTGAAAAAAGTGCATCAAAGATCGTATTATTTGTCTGTTTTTCATACAAAATCAAACAATAAAACAATCTTTTGAACAAAGAAATGCACAAAACAGTATTTTGAAAACACCGGAAAATATTCCACAACACTCCAATGTACCAATAAAAATCTGGGACAAAAACTAACTTTAATATTAGATTATAAATAATTGACTTTTTGCCTGTATTTACAAAAACGTTACAACAAGCACTAAACGAGCAACTGCTTAAAATTGTTATGAGTCATAACTTATGACTATAGACTTTATAAAACGTCTTAGCGCGACAAAACTTTGAGTATGATAATTTACATTCTGATTTGCAAGCGGATAAGCGATAAAAAATCCGCGAAAAATTAGAGTTAGGTCTACGAAAAATTAATTGAAAATAAGAGGATTCTCGCGGTATAACCAATTTTTTTCATATTTGTTTCATTAAAAAGCTACATATTGCATTGGTGGGGGCCCCTAAATGGTGGGGGCCCTAGGGCCGTGGCCCCGCTGGCCCCGTGCTAAATCCGGCCCTGATTACCGGTAACTCGCTAAAAATTCCCTAATGTAATGATTACATTGTAATCGTAAGAGTCATAACTGTTGCACCCGCGATTCTAATATTTTAATCGCGGGTGCAACTCATTTTAGTCAACGTTAATTTTAATTAAAATGACAACTTACGTTCTATTGCGACAGAATCAAGTTTTCCTTTTATTTCTTCTTACTTCTACAAAGTTTCAAAAAATTACCAATTTATTTCTTCAAGAAAACCAAACTTTCATTTCTTTTATATCGCGGGTGCAACTGACCAACAATGGTTTCTTATTTAATTAATATTGTTAGAAAAATAATAAAAAATATTTAATTTTTTTATATAAGGCAATAAACAAATGTTATGACTTCAATATTCATCAGTGAAATATAACCTCAAACCACCGGTAATAGCGATTTCGTGGAAAAATTATCAAGTGTCGATGAATAGTTTGCATCAAGTCTTCAGGCGCCACCATTTCTGAGCGCGCCAAAAAATTCAAATAATAACTTAAGTTCTTAAAAGTTTTTTTATTATTAAATATATATCTTTCTCTTTGTATTGGTATAAAAAAAGTAATAAACTCTGTGATTTAAAAATGTATGTCAAAAATCGTCTCCCGCGGAATCGCCCATATAATTCATATATTTATTTCTCGGATTCCTCATCCCTTTTCTGGATTCTGAAGGTAACTACTAATTCCTTGGTCTGACTTCTGAAATAGTTTTTTCGCAAATATCATTAAGTGTGGTATCTCTATAGTTTGTGAAGCAACTATAATGTTTAGGCCGGAACAGGATGATTTATATATGTATATCTAATATTTTTTCGGGTGGTATGTTAAAAATATTTATTAATTTTGTTGCCATTAGTTTTTTATGTTCTCTATCATGCACTGTATTTAAATCACTTATTCTGCAAGATGTCCTGTGACGAAGAAATCACTATATTACTTACTTTCTAAAAATGAATTAGTCACAAATGTCATAGCAAAAAAGCAGCCACTAATAATTTTCGTCAAAAGCAATTTGTTTTCAGGACATTTAGCAGTCAATTTCTATAAAATATTATTCGCTGAATCCGAAAATGTCGTCAAAAGTTATAAAAGTAGAACAGTTTTTGAAATATAATCAATTTTACATATAATATGGAATTGACTATATCTCAAAAACTGCGTAACTTTTATAGTTTTGACGGTCTTTTCGGATTCAGGGGACAATTTTACATAAGAATTAGATGGTAAATGTCCGGGATACAAATAGAGTATGATATTGGACATATGTCCAATAATAGAAATTTATATTTTTTACCGACCAGAAATTGGACACTGGCCATTTTACTGTTTGTTTTCAGAATTAAAATTAAAACGCATTAAAGTGACAATGTTTAAACCATGAGTAACACATTTATACCACACAGTGATCTGTACACTTTTTACAAATATTTTTTATTGTAATTTAAACACAGCCCTGCTCTTAACAAAAAAACAAAAATCTAACCACCAAAGTAACGTGCGAACTTTTTTGTCCTATATTGGACCCAAAATAAAGTAGTTCTGTATTATTACCGACTGAGATAGTTATAATTGTATACAGCGTCATCTAATGATTTGACTTTAAGGTAACTATAAACATAAAAGTTGAAAAAACTCTATGGAATATCGTAAAAATGTAATATAACCTTAAATATCAAAAGAAAAAAACTGTTTTTCACCGTTCGGGTTAAAATTTATCAACTTTGTTTATTTAGAATGGTGAACTTTTGTAGTATAATATAATATTATTTATTATATATCAAGTTTGATAAACGCCATTTTAGTCACGAATTTAATTTAGACACGAGCGAGCTTGCGACCGAGTGCTTAATTAAATGAGTGTCTAGAAAAGTTTATAAACGAGTTGCACACTATACTTTTTCTACGACTAATACTTAATATTATCTAAAAAATGATTTAAATGAAATATTTGTATAAAGCGACATCTATACGAAAATAAAGTAACCATCCCAATAAACATATTTGACATAATTTTCACCATTAACATTTTAATTATAATTAAAATTTAGGATACTTTAAAATATTAAAATAACTTAAAAATATAATTATGTAAAGAAAATATTTTATTCCTTGATTTTTTTATTACTATAATTGCAAAATATTATCACAGTTTTAAAACATTTTAGACAGAAAAAGTGACAGTTGTATTATTGGAATTAGAATTTATAACTTGGGAAGAAAGGCACTTAAAACTAACTTTAGCCCATGACTAAAGCGCCATAAAGCCACAACTTGCCAATGTATATTTAAAAGGTCACTTAGTGTAATGGAAACATGTACGATAAAGGGCGTTTTAAAGGTGGTAGTAAAAAAAATATATTACCTGTAAAACATTTTTTCCTCTCAGCCAAACCAATGCTTTCCTGGCTTGATCAATTTTTCCGTGCCTGGCCAGCCATACAGGGCTCTCCGGTAGAAAGAAAAAACTCAAAATTGACACCAGAGGCAGTACCGTGCATATACCTAAAAATATAGAATGTCAACAAAAATTCGACAACAAAACTTTAAAATATGAATTTTGTTTCTTATAATTAACCTGCTACATATCTCCATTGCACCAAGGAACCCAGTGCATATACTATAAGTATTCCAAAGGAATAGCTGGCAAATGGTACACTCGAGAATATTCCTCTTAGATGGGGTTCCGAAATTTCGCCAATAAGGACCTAAAAAAATTAATCACAATTAAGTTTTTGGAGGAAAACCTATGTAGAATTAACAAAATACAAATTAAACAAAAATCATAAGAGTACCTTATTGAAGAAAATATGTAAAACCATTACTAATTACTAGCCCATAATGATTGCCATAATCAATTAGTTTAGTGTCAAATGTTGACGACAATAGTATCAGAGTTAATTTTGAGTTTGCCATTTAATTTACTTAACCGAAAAAAGTTCTTAAAACAAACGTAAAATTCTTCAAAAGTTTGGCCAAATAATACATTTTTTTTCTACGACCACTATGTAAAAGTCACATTTCGTAATGGCATCGTTGCTTTTTTCTGTGTAAATCAAAATTTATCCATTGAAAATATCTTAAAATGATTTAAATCAAAAATTTGTATAGAGCACCATCTATGAAACAATAGGGGAATCTGTGTATCACCGTCAAATGTCAAATTTTTTAAATTTTATAAACAAAGATTATAAAGGTTATAAATCGAAATGTATTTCTTGAAAATTGACAGTTTTTCATAGTGAAAGTAAAGAAAATGTTTTATGAGCACTTTACAGTGGAGTCCGTGTCCGAATTTAAGTTATAGTTTACTGCCGGCGAAATTAAAAGGTCAGTACAATGTTCATATAAACTTTTCTAATATTGGCGTTGAGAAACTATTTAATACTTTTGTATTTTTGTATTGAGATAATAAAATAATTTTCACATTTAGTATTATTTTACAAGAAAGGTACTCTATTTTAACGATTGTATGACATTTGACAACTGTCAACTAACTTAAAACTAACTTCAGCCCGTGACTAAAGCGCCGTAAAGCCACAACTTGTCAATGTGTATTTAAAAGGTCACTTAGTGTCATGGAAACATGTACGATAAAGGGCGTTTTAAGGGTGGGAGTAGAAAAAACATATTAATTATTTCTATAATTCTGTTTACAATCTATTACCAGAGAAAATGTTACAAATTTCTCATTATTGTACTACATAATTGTATTGTTATTTGGTTTAGAGCCAGGTTACATTCTCCACAAATTCAAGTTTCCATAAATTTCAATATTTGGAATTAATCTCCAAAATACCATGCTTACAGAAATCTAAATAGCCAATTAATCGATCTATTTGAATTGTCTCTAAGTATAGCAATTCGATTAAACAGAAATTTATTTGTCTGTTATAACATTTAACTTTAAATGCCCCATAAATGTCATATTTTAATATTTTTAAAAAATGGCTTCATTTAGAAGTTTTTTACTAAAGAAGTTTTTACTAATGCTATAGGACTGCATAATACATTTAACATAACATATTTATTATTAAAATTTAATTTCCTTTACTGCAATTTGATTACTGTAATAAGTTTTAAATTAAATTTTCCAGTTTTACAACCAAGCATTAATATAATTTTTAGTGTAATAAAAAATTAAATTAAATTAATATAGGTTAATTCATAAGTACTACTTTTTATACAAGGTGTCCAGAAAAACATCATATAACGTATTAGAGGAGGTTATTTTAGTTTTTTTTTAAACTATGGTAGTAATTTTTATGTTTAGGAAGGTTTATAAAAACTATTTTTGTTTTAAGTATAAAAAATATCCAAACAAATTTATAAAAAGTAGTTATTAATATCCAAAATTTAATTTTTAAAACTTTTTTTTCCAGAAATTTTGGATCATATTCTATAATAAATATTATAAGTAATACATTGTTTTTTGTTTTCTAGTTTCGTTTCTAAGATACTGGGTTTTATTTTTTTTATATATTTTTTTGACAATCTTTGTGTAAAGCTATGTTTTGTGGAATATATAAAAATAAAATAAAAAAATTCTATAATAATGTATATATACAGTGTGACCTATTTGTTTGCGACTCACCCCTGTAAAATCTTTATTTATTGTGCGATTCACCACTTAAAACAACCCTATACTAAATTTTATAGAAGAATATAATCACAAGCTAAGCACAAAAGAAGATCAAAAGCAGTTTATTTTACAAGTGGTTTCTGACTATAGAAAAACGATATCTCGATTTTAAAAACAAATTTTAACTTTCTCATTGTAAACTTACATAAAAAAGCTTACTTATTGTATCTCGTAATAATAAAAATATTAATTACATATCACGGTTGCTTAATTTTATATGAAATGCAATTTTTCCAATTATTATTTTTTTGCTATATACAGGGTGTTTCATAATATATGCGCAGGACTTCAGGATGAGATAGCTCATCCAAAAAGATGAAAAAAGTCGCTATTAACTTACCCTCTAAAATGCACAATTTTTGAGATACAGGGTGTTGAAATTTTAGAAAAAAAATCGTTTTTTTCGAATATCTCCGGAACCGTTTATCGTACAAAAAACAGCTTTTTTAGGCATTTTCTACTCATAATAAGCTATATTTTGTGCCAGAAAAATTTTTTTTACTCATTATTGGTGGATATTTTGAAGGGGTAGCGGGTTTTTTTCTCCTCAACTTCTACGCCCCTGAAAAAAGTACGGCTTTGAGAAGCCTATTCGAACCGCCAATGTTTTCTATACAAAAAAGGTACTCTTAGTCATAAGCTCTAAAGTTGACCGTTTTCGAGAAAAATCAACTTTTATCTTTAAAAACATGGTCAATTTTTTGAAATTTTTTTTTTACCAATTATACAAAATTTATTTTAACGTTAGAACAAGTAACAAAACCAAACGATAATTACAAAATAAAAAAAAATAAAAAATGATTAAAAGTTGTCTTCGCAAAATTATCTAAACCGTAAAGGTAACGCATTTCTCACATTTCAGCATTTGTGTAAAAAATCTCAACACCCTGTATCTCGAAAATTGTGCATTTTAGAGGGTAAGTTAATAGAGACTTTTTTCATCTTTTTGGATGAGCTATCACATTCTGAAGTCCTGCGCATATATTATGAAACACCCTGTATAAATAAGGACCCGTATATATTAATATATACATCCTAAATTTTAGGTATCACCCTTTATATTTTTGTCTTACTTGGCCCGCTGCTGCAGTTAGTCCTGCGGATAGTCCGGCTACCAAACGACCCAATAAAAGCAGGCCGTGGTTGTTGGCAAGGCCTATTAGGATCCATCCCAATATGAGAGGCATCGAGGCAATTTGTAAGGCTAATTTTCGACCGCAGCGGTCCATGAGTAGGCCGCTTAGCAGTGAGCCAAAAGGCGTGGCAGCTGAATGAACACTCGCTAAAAAAAATTAGATCAAATATTAAAATGTTAAATCTTAAAAAAAGTGCAAAAATTATTTATTTGATGTTAAAGAATTAATCCCGGCGCATTCGCCATTTTTAAAACTACAATACAATAATTCATAATACAATGTAATTAGTTTTTGATTCATTTAGTTTTTGGTTGAAACAAAGCTTTTGTCCTTACTATTTCAAAACTTTATTATCTATAATTCAGTTCCTGTTTTAAAATCATATTAAGGTTGCATTTATTAATTTATCAGAACATAATGTCAACAAATTCTTGAAGGTTTCTTGAACAACCCACCTTCATATTAACATAATCTCGTAGCATTTATTGACCAAGGTGAACAAAAATCCTGACCTACAACAATATTTTCCAAATAAAAAAATATCATATAATTTATATAAATGCGCTGTTGCGAGATCGTTTTTTTTAGTGAATCCTCTTCCCTAATCGATTAACTATCTTAAACACTGCCCTGTATCTACACGAAGAAAAAAATTCTACGTTTATTATTTAAAAATAATTAATTATTTTTTACAATGTTTTAAAAGTCTAAAACCTATCCTCCGTGACTTTCTAGGTTAACTTATATGTTTTCAAATATCTGAGGTAGTAAAGCATACTAAAAATATCAGTCCACTAAGTAAATTAAACACATCCAAAGCAATCGAATCAAATATAAAATATTATTAAAAATTAAAAGAAATAATTTTTATAACCATTTATGTAGGTGTTACAAAAAATGATTCTATCCTCCGTGAATCTGTTTTTGCTTTAAATTGTATGCAACGGATGGAGCTTTATACCTTTTAAATAAGCAAAAACCTCTGTTTACGACATTATAGATGAGAGTGTTGCTGTTTCATAATTCAAAAGTTCATTAATTTGCTATTTAAAAATCTATCCACAGTGAAGTGTAATATCTCAGTACGTAGATTTTTTATAAATATTTTATGTATGTACAGGGTGATCCCCTATAATCTCGCCCCCCTTTAACTTTTTTATTTTAAGTGTCCCAAAAAAATTAAAAGTGTGGTTATGTAGATACTAAAAAATACTTTTTTTTACGTATTAAAAAAATTGGCAAATTAATCAATATACAGGAAAAAACAAAAAGTATATTTTTTTCAATGGATCACCCTATATATGAATTTATTTTTCGATTCCTTGTAAAATTCTAAGCATATTTCATACATCATACCATACCATACCATACCTAAATTCAACCGTTTCTGAAATATTTAAATTATTTTTAAGATAATAAGTTGAAATAGTTTGTCTTTCTCCGTCTAAGTAAGCCATTTTTACTTATTTAACAACACTTATTGACATAATGTCACTATAGTAATTTATTTTCAATAAAAATTTTGGTATACTGAGGCTTCTTGATTTTTAACAGTTTAAAAAAACATTTAATAATGACATTTCGAATGCGAATATTTCAGAAACGGTTGAGTTTAGGTATATGGTTTGTATATAAATTATGCTCAGAATTTTACAAAGAATCGAAAAATAAATTCAAATATAGGGTGATCCATTGAAAAAAAATAAACTTTTTGTTTTTCCCTGTATACTGATCTATTTTCCAATTTTCTTTATACGTAGAAAAAAGTATTTTTTAGTTCCTACATAACCACACTTTTAAATTTTTTGGGACACTTAAAATAAAAAAAGTTAAAGGGGGGCGACATTATAGGGGATCACCCTGTACAATTGTATTTTTTAAAAATATTAAGGTGTCAAAAGATACAATAACTTATTTCAGACCTGGTGGCTTCCCAAAAACCCCATTCTAGACTAACAGTGAAACAACCAAAAATAAAAAATAATCATTTTCACTTGGGGGACATTAAAATATATTCACCCATATTCCTTTAGTGAGTATTGTAATATGTATATTGTGTTTGGAGAATGCTTAGATAATGCTAGTCCCTATGTATGTTAGTGTAATATTTGTTAGTTTTTTTTCATATATTTAATTTTTTGTTAAATAACTAATAATATTATTAGTTCCCAGTTTTGAGTTTAAATAGCAACTAACCTAAAAACAATTATAATGAGAATGCAATTATTAAATTAAAGTAACAGTCCCTCATTCTTTCATATATTATTTTGCGGAAGCCACGTTCGGTAATCTTGACCTATATTTCCCAAACCTTGTTGCGAACACATTAGAAGACATTAAACAACATTAGATGCGAGGTTGTCGACCTTAACGCCAATAAAGCTAAATTGAAAGATTGACGACACTTTTAACCATCTTATGGTCCGGTTAACGAACGATCAAGTTGCCCGTGCCGGCATCACGTGGCCTTCAACCGAAGACAGTTGCAAGCCACTTATATCCTTCGTATCCTTGCCCTTAATCCTTCGGACAAGTGCAACTCTGTTTCATTGATTTTATTTTATAGTCAACTGACCAAAACTGATTACAATTTTTTCGTTTATAGTCTTTTATTTCTGTAACCCAGTAAAATTATTAAAAACATATTTTAAAAGTGTTTTATGTAAATTAAACTGTGTTGCTGTTCTGGAGCAGTGTTGCCAGGTTTTAAAATATTGTTATCTTTGATATTCAAATACACTTCTACCTGGATTGTCACATTTCAAAATTATGTGATGACAGGGCACTGTATTAAGCACCAACTACCATAATGTCATCATTTCCATTCAAAAATTTTTGAAGACCAATTTAAGAACTGAGTTTTTTAATTTCAAATTCAAGTATAAGTGACTTACCAATCCAACTGCCCATTTCGTCGTCGATTTGCATGGTATCGTTAGCTATTTTCAATTGAGGCAACAAAACAGCTGAATATCCAACTGGCATGCCGCAGCTGGCCGAGCTCAACATCACTGCACCCGTGACAAAAGTCTAAAAAAAAATTGATAAAAAAATAAGAACATAATTTAATAGCCGAATGGCATACAACATTTTATCTTCAAAGCACTTTATATAGGTCAATTTAATTCAACATCAAAGCGGCCTAACCTCACTTTTTTAGAATCTCATTTATTTATTAGCTAAAGATTACATTAAATGTACAATAATTATTATTGCTGTTAGAAGCAGTAATAGTTTGACAATACCTAGCAACATGATTTAAGTAGAAATGGATTGCTATTACATTGAATTCAATTAATTGTTTAATAAATAGGTAGGTATCTAATTTCAATTTGTTTGGATTTTTATTTAAAAAATAGGTAGTTTGGAATGTTTAAGCTATGTTTAACATTTAATTTCACTGAAAACTTAAAGCAAATTAAAACTGAAAGATAATTTAAATCGTAGAAAAAGAATCGTGCGTTTTCTTGGTTGCCTAACCTCACTTTTTGTTTTATTATTCATATTTAATTTTACAATAATTTAATAAAAAATATTAAACATTAACAGTAAAACAAACAAATTAGTGCTTATTATAAATAAATTAAACCAGTTTAGTACGTTAATTTCTTAGAAAAGTATTAATTTGTCAAAATAATACCCCTAGCGAGAACAAAATCGAACCAATTACTTGCCACATAAAATTTTTTATCGGCCTAGGCCATAACAAGTTGTTTCTTTATCGAATGTTGACAACAATAAAGTTTAAATTATAGACCGAAAATTACGTACCCCTACTTACTATAAATCAATTAAACAAAACAAGAAACAAAAGAACAATAAAACAACGTTTTTCGGGGTAATTCGGTTGGTGCAAGGCCTTCTGCCATCACATTTTCATGCGAATGGCTTTGATATGGTAATTCTTGATTAATACATTTTGCGAGAGTGAAGATGTGGGGAGATTTCGGAAATTTATCTTCTGGTTAATTTCGACGAAATTGCGTCGATAAGAATTTAATTTTCTTGTTTGGATTCTATTCGTTTTGCATTGTTTGATAAAGTTGCAGATTTATTTTTATGTTGTAAATTTCTTTATAATTTGATGATTTTAGAATGGTGTGTTTTTTAATTGTGTGTATGTTATTTTTGAGTTCATTTATGTAGGTATGTGTTATTTTTTTGTTTAGGAAATTGATTAATAAAGCAATATTTCTTATCAAAATTCTTTTCATTTAAGTTCCCAATTTCCAACAAATTCTTTTGTTACTACAGTTCATTTTTTTTTCTGGAATCGTGTTTTTTTTGTTAGGTTGGTGGCTTATGCCAGTTTGACTTAGTATTTTTAGTATTTAAAAATGGTACTTCTGCTAAATAATTTAATTCATTACTTTGACAATGTCAAATGGACAATAATATTTATTATTGATAATTTACTTGTCAATTATAAATAAAAAGATAATTATGCCAAAAATAATAGCAACGAATTCGAATGTAAAAGCCCTGCTGAGGGCAAAACTTCATTTTGATAAAATTATGCCAAATGCCACAATGGAAGAAAAAGTACATCGCCTTATGGACATTTTTGGAGTAAAAAAGTAACTAATTTGGTTTTATAAATATTACGTCACACATTATTTTCACATTATTCACCATTGGGCAACATTTACGTTTACAAAAAATTTTAATTTCTTTTATATAACTTCATTTTAAAGCGAAGATTATTATCCGCTAGGAATACTTTCTCTTCTGGACCGTAAAGCAACCTATATTTAACTACTTTTTTTATATAATTTTACTCATCTAAGCACCACCAAAGCCAAATTAATTGCATTTTTAACTACGAATTTCGACAACTTAACTTGACAACTGCACAATGTAACATACAATAATTTATACATAACCACAATTAGATTTATAACTAGCTTAGTTTGTTTTAATCAATGCGACCAACTTGACAACTGTATTTACCAACTTTGCCGCAGTCCAGATAAAAAAAATGAACTTTAGGTCTACAAAAAGGTATGTAAAAATAAGGTCCTTTATGTAAATTACAAGAATTATGGTTAAATTATTGACAGGATTTTGTTATTAAATCTACAAAATGTTTGTTATAAATACAAACTACTTTGGTTAATTTTTGGTTAAAATTAACAATTTTTTTTACTGTGTACCAGAGTTCGTATGACATGACCATTGTTGATGGGTGTGACTTTTGTTCACAGGATTTTTTTTGTAAATTTCTTCGTAAAAGCGAAAATGACTACTTGCCAAAAAATTAAATATCTCAACAACAATTGAAGATGCAAAATGCAATAATAGCTCCAGAACTTTAATTGGAATTAAAAAATGCCTCAGGGCGTTTTATTGCAAAAATGGCGGATGCGCCGGGATTATTTATTAAATATCGAATTTGTTAATATCTTGACAACAGCGCCACCTATCGGATCCCAGCGTAGCTATGATTTAGACTCCCTTCAGTTAACCCTTCGAATGTCTTTAGTGTTTCGGTATTTCATTAGGTCAAGAACAATTTAATTAAATACCTACGTGGCTATACCTACCGATGCGGTAGGTATTTTCCAAACAGTACGAAAGAGAAAAAGCAGAAGTTAATCTCGGATATCCGAAACTAATTTGTACGAAGTTAGAGGCGAATCGAGTAGGTGGTCTTAAACAAAAAACGAACACCGCAAAATCCCCCTGTGTGTCCTAAAATGTCCGAATTCATTCAATGGATAAGATTTATTGCGCCTTAAGTTTAATCTATTATCTGCATTGGAGTTGTAAAATATTTAATTAGTTCTTTTTTGCAATAATAATTTCTTAAGTATTTGAACTGTTTCCCCCCTTATTTTTACAAACCTCAAATCAATTTTGTTCGATTTTTCTTCGTTATACGATTCTGCAATAATATTTATATGTTCTTATGTTTTAATTAATATTTAAGTTTTCCTTGGTTTAAGTTGTATACATTATTTCATTCGGTGATAATTATCAATTGCGCACCATGGTCACTTTTTACCCGGCAGCATTAAATCCTTTAATTTAAAGGATTATTGTACTATTTTTAATAAAAATACCTTATTTAAGGTAAAAAAACATTATTTTGTCAATTAATTAATTTAATCCTAATTGAGGTATAAAAAATGGTATTTATATATAAATAATAATTATTATTGAGGTATAAAGAAACTATTTATAGTTTAGCATTATTTAATCAATTTAGTTCGAAGATTAATTTGCAAACAAAAATACCTTTCGTTAAGCAGTTATTCATAATCGATTTTGTAACAGTGAAAGAAAAAGTAGAAATGATTTTGATTTACGGAGAAGCAGGCAGGAATCTTGATGATGCTGTTAATATCTACGCTCAGCGTTTTCCTGATAAAATTCGATCACGTACTACATTTCACCGTACAGTCAAGCAGTTTACTACAAACGGGAGTGTTCAACCGAAAAAAAGAGTTCGTCGAGCAACAGTCATAGGTGAAAATAATGAAATTAATGTATTAACAGCAACGGCCGCTAATCCTCATGCAAGCACACGAGAATTATCTAGAGATTTGGGAACGAAATGCGAATTAATAAATACATTGAAGTCGAAGGCCACCATTTTAAGCAACCTACTTTAATCAAAATTTAAAAAATAAAACCAAGTATTTTATTCAAAAATTATTGCAGAATCGTATACAGAAGAAAAATCAAACAAAATTGATTGAAGACAAAGAGAGAACAGACATGAAGTAATTTTAACGTTACTTTTACGTAAATATATGGTATTTAATTTGTTTTTATAACGTTATTCTTTTGGTCGCTTGTACAGTTATTATGTAATTAAAATAATGTATTAAACCATAATAATTTTTCATATTTGGACCTTTATTTTATAAGTTTTATTAAAAAATATGGTTTATAATATTAGTAAATTAGTAAAGTTAAAGAAATAAATCCATTGCTACTAGATACAAATAGATAAACATATAAAGATCCTCTTTTATATCTTTGTTGTTTATTTTTTAATAGTAACAAGGTAAAATAGAGCATGTCTACCAACCTGAGCCAGCAATCCTCTGCGCGACCACTTTTTCTCCTTTTCCCTGTGATTCGAGTTCAACGGTTGGTAGTTCGTATCGCTCGCCAATATTTCACTGTCGTCATCAGTGGTGCTGCTGCAACAACAAAAAAAGTTTTTTTTTTTTAAATAAAGCACCCTTAGAAAAAGGTGCAAAGCTCCTGAAGATGAGACAAATTTATCACTGCCGTCAGTAGGCGTTGCTATGATTTATTATCTTAATTAAAGGCACAATTATAAATAGGTATGGAAAGCTTTAAAATTAAAAGAAAAAATAATCCAAAAAAATTGTCAAATTCAACGCAAATATATTAGACATTTAAATTGAAACACGGAGAGAAAAGTATAATACTGATTACCATAATTATAATACCCTTTACTATATTATATATTACTATTTGGGACAACTATCTTGTATATTGCCAGTTACTATGCATATTTAGTAATTTTTAAATATCCATGTATATTAAACCTTAAGGTTATTATTCTCAACCAATTTTGTTTTTAATTCTTATTATAATTAGATAGTAAATTTAAAAAATAAATATAATAGATACGTATCCCATAACAAACTAAATAGTGTATTTTATTATTTTGTATAATACATTTAATTAAATCATATAGTAAATATTACTATTTGTAGATAGTAAAATCAATTTACTATACGAATATATTTAAAATTAAAATACGTATTATACATTTTTGATCTAATAATATTGGTGTTGTAATCTTTACTAAAATTGTATAATAAAAAATACTATTTCGTATTACAATCTTTATATTTTACTGACGAATATTTAATATTGTTAAACTAAACATTTTTTAAAGTAAATTTTAATATATTTTTTTAACTATCTAAAATTTACTATACATTTCTCTCCGTGAACTTCAAATCTTTTTAACTTTTTATTTTTAAAAAGTTATAACAAAATATTTATTTTCTTAAAACACAGTTTGTTTTCTTAAAATTGTTACTTAATATTGATTACAAACTTTTCTTACTCTCTAAGAATTAATTAGTCAAAAATGACGAATTGTCTTAGCGAAAAAGCAGCCACTAATAATTCTCGTCAACAATAATTTGTATCCCGGACATTCATCAGTCAATCGCTATGTAAAATTGTCCGCTGAATCAAAAAATGTCAAAAGTCAAAATGGGAAGAGTTTTTGAGATAATATGGAATTGACTATATCTCAAATTTTTGATGGTCTTTTTAGATTCAGAGAGCAATTTTATTTAAAGCTGGCTGTTAAATATCCGGGATACAATTTGCTTTTGGACTACAGTTATTAGTGACTGCTTTTTCAATTTGAAAACTAGTCATTTTTGTCTAATTCATTTTTAGAAAGTAAAGTATAAAAATATTATAGACCTAGGCGGTAAAATTTACTGGGGGAAGTGAAATTTTTTTCCGGCTGAAAGAAGAAAAATATATCCGATAGTAAGTGAAAATTCAAATTAATTAATAATTAGCTAATATTAGATTTTGTTCGGCATATTATTTTACAAAAAAAATACAACTTTTTGTTGGAACCAAAAAAGTTAATTAAAATAATAAATATCTTTTTTGTTTCATTTTAATTTAACAAATTATTGCAGCGCTCTTTTTTGCAAAAATTTAAAAAAATTACTGCCTAGCAATTTCTTGATATGTTTTTTAATTATGGAGGCAATAAAATTTAACTTTAATAAATCTTAAAACCCTTTTTTAGTTGTTTTCAACTAAAAAAATAAAGTATTAACCAAATTATTTGAAAATTTTAAAAATCACAAAAATTAGTACTTATAAGTAAATAAAACTTAAACAAAAATTAAATAAAATAGGGTAAACCACATAGTTCTTGGACACAAGGAATATTATTTATTTAAAATTTATGTATGCATAACAATGGCATGCCGTTGTTTTAAAGATTTTAGTTTTTCTTCTTATAAATATATAAAATTGTTTTTTTTAAACTTTATTTACGTTTACTTAAAAATAAGAATATTTGAATTTTTAATAAGAATATTTAAATTTTTAATAATAGTTTTATAAAAACATGCAAAAAAGTATAGTAGGTAATTGGACATTTTATATAGTAATTGGAGACATGGACATGGACATACAATTTTTATATAAACGTAACAACTTTTCTTTACTTTGACGAAAATTATTAGTGGCCGCTTTTTCGCTATGACATTTGTGACTAATTCATTTTTAGAGAGTAAGTAATATAGTGATTTCTTCGTCACAGGACATCTTGAAGAATAACGTAAATTTAAATACAGTATCCTGTTCTGGCCTAAACATTATAAATCTTCACAAACTAGAGATACCTCACTTAATGATATTTGCAACAAAATATTTCAGAAGTCAGACCAAGGAATTAGTAGTTCAAAATCCAGAAAAGGGATGAGGAATCCGAGAAAGAAATATATGAATTATATGATATTTACAAAAACGAAATAAAAAAATTACCTAAAACAGCAATTTATCTTTAAAAAATATTAAACAATTTATGTTATTTGATGTAAAGTTGTTATGTTTATATAAAAATTGTATGTCCAATAACTATGTGTCCAATTACTATATAAAATGTCCAATTACTATACTTTTTTGCATGTTTTTATGAAACTAAATTAAAAATTCAAATATTCTTATTTTTAAGTAAACGTAAATAAAGTTTAAACAAACCCACTATCCTTTTTATATATTTATAAAAAAAAACGAAAAAAAGGGAAAAGAAGGGAAAAAACTGATTTGTCTAAATTATTTTTACAGCCTAGGCAATAATCAATCACTTTAGTAGTGATTTTTGACAATAATGACTTCAGTTTAAATTATTGAACGTTTAATATAAAACTTAATTTGAAAATAAAAATAATTGTAAATTTACCAGGAACTGAGAGTTTAAAGTTACACTCACTTTAGCTTTTTTATTTGAACTTTTTAATAAAAAAGTTTTTCCTTTTATAGTTTTTCTCATTTTAAATGTTAATTATATTTACTATAAAATAGATAAATTGCATTGTTAAAAACTCATTTAGGTTTAGTTACTACAACACTGTTTCGAAGATATTACAAAATAATAAAAATTATAATAGTCGGGCAATAAAAACAATATTTCTTACCTATGCTCTGATTTGCTGTCTACACACATTTTGTCACTTAACTTCACTAAACTGTATGTTGTTTTGGGTATATTAATATACAAAACAATAACCAAGTTTAATTTAAAAGGTTAGGATGTCCGTAATGTTTTCTTGGGGAAGTTGACTTTTATAGTGTTTTGTTTTACCGCGTTTGGGGTCATTTAATACCTAGCAACTCAATGGGTTTGCCTCCACCACCGTGTATCTTTGAGACCTCGACCGTAAACCGTAGTAAGTGTTTACTCAAACGTCAATGACAAACATAAAACAAAACCATAAATAACATTTTTGCGAATTAATTTTGACATTTCCGTTCCATTTTTTCACTAACCTAACTCTATTGCCATTATTCAATATAAAAAATAGGTCAATTGGAGATTCGCAAATTTTTTATTCTCTAATTTTGTTTTAAGACATTAGACATTATTTTTTGGCATACTTTAATATGAAGCCGTACATTGTTTTAAAAAGTTAAAGGCACATAAATTTTAAACTTATTATTGTTAATACTTCATTTTGCAATTTGACAGAAGCCAAAAAAGACACTTTCCGCACAATGAACACGGTATAAGTTAATAAATCCATCTTTATAGGTGGTGTAAGTGAAAATGATTATTTTTTATTTTTCGTTGTTTCACTATTAGTCTAGAATGGGGTTTTTGGGAAGCCACCAGATCTAGTAATAACATAACATAAGTGGTTCTGTACTAAAGCAAGAGTTTTAAGAAATCATACATTTTGAATATTAGAGCTTCACGGAGGTTAGGATTTCGTATGTTTTTTTAAACATCCCTTTGTATATTTGAAATAAGTTCTTGTATCTTTTGACACCTTAATATTTTTTAAAAATACAATTGTACATACATAAAATATTTATAAAAAAAATCTACTTACTGAGATATTACACTTCACGGTGGATAGATTTTTAAATAGCAAATTAATGAACTTAAACTTTTGAATTATAAAACAGCAACACTCTCATCTGCATATAAATTTTAACGGACCTTCAGGAATCACATGCATCTATAATGTCGTAAACAGAGGTTTTTGCTTATTTAAAATGATTAAAGCGCCATCCGTTGCATAAAATTCAAAGCAAAAACGGATTCACGGAGGATAGAATCAATTTTTGTAACACCTACATAAATGGATATAAAAAGTATTTCTTTTAATTTTTAATAATATTTTATATTTGATTCGATTGCTTTGGATGTGTTTCTTCAATTTACTTAGTGAACTGATATTTTTAGTACTAACTCAGATATTTGAAAACATATAGGTTAACCTAGAAAGAGTAACAGTCACGGAGGATAGGTTTTAAAACATTGTAAAAAATAATTAATTGCGGTTAAAAATTTGGAACCTTAGCTGTAATATCTACTTAATTATGAAAGATCAAAACACAATAAAAGTGTAGGTCAAACTCACCCAGGTACCTATGTTTTTAATAAAATAAATTGTGTTTGACGTATTCCTTAAAATAACATTAGGATTGTCTATAATTTGGTTTTGAGGTTAATTTTTTTAAGAAGGGTTTTCAATGAAATTATTATTAAAACCTTGGCAAAAATGCAAGGTTACACATAAAATTTTGATTTTATTGTTTGAACCCACGTTTATATTAATATATTATAAGAAATATATCTTATATGTATAATATATCAATTATTAGGATTTGCAATATTTTTTATGATAAAATCTCTAAAAATAAACAACAAATTTAGTTTATCGAACGTGAATTTGAAATAACTAAATAAGTTAAAAAAAAATCACCATATAATCAATGAACGCATTTTTTAGATATAATTGTGGATAACAAACATGTAACAGATAATATACTTGTTAACTACAAAAACCATAACCTTCGTCGTTATAAATAAAAATTGTAACATTAAAATTTAACACGATAATATTTTTTGTCCCTATGCCGACTTCATTAATAAAAGTGCAGTAAGTATTATCTAGATTTCGAAATATTTTTATTTATGATAGTAAAAACGTTTATTTTATCGAAAACAAAAGCAAAATGATGGTCATTTTTTTAATCAGTACCGAAATTATACTTAAGAAGTTGTTTACAACTCATTTTTAGGTCATTTAAAAAATGAGTATTTTTGTGCTGAGCCCAAGGTTTGACCAAAGCACAACAATTCTTATTACTTAAATTTCTATTATCTATTTTGCGTTCATAATGACTTCATTATAACACCGCTTTCAGTGCTGTAATGAGATACTTTATCCCACCCAAGATTTTGATTTTATAGCTTGGCTATACTTTAAACAGCATAATATTTTGCATATTGGTTATAATATTTTTATGATTTTTCTAGTACTTACGAGACTTTTCTGGCAATAAATTTTGTTTAACACCAAAGAAAATTCTTTTTTCTTCTTTAACGTAGTTTTATTTATTTACTTCAGATTTGTTTAAAACAATTTTTTTATTTAATTGGTAATTATAAAGTTTAAAAGTCTTCAATTCTTATAATTTTAAAACTAACTAACTACATGGACCACCCTGTATACTTATCTTTTAATGTGTGAATTTAAGGGATTTCTGGGACTTTTATCTTATATTTTTTTTTTTATTTTTTAAATTTTTTATAAATTTAGGTAATAAATTATACATATGAATAAAATTTGTTATTGCGCATTATAAATCATAGAAGCCGTTATTTATAACAAATAATTAACATATTTGCAAATAAATTTACAATTAAATTCATAATATTAATTATTTTTATGTTTTCCCTTATAATTTTTTAAATCATATTTCAAAACAAATATTTTTTTATGTTGAAAATAAATAAAAACTGATAAAAATAAATTAACTATGCTTTAAATGTTAAAGGTTCTTTGCAACAATTTTAGATTCTTGTCCCAACGATATGTCCTGGAATTTTTTTGGAAAGTTCACTTTATTTTTTATTTATCAACGTTTTTGGTTTAATTTTTCTAAACATTTGTATCTTTTCCCCCATCGATAAGCTGTGACTTAATGGCGTTTTAGTCACGGGCTGAAGTTATCAATAGTAACTTTCGGGCATTTTAGTCACGGGCTAAAGTTAGCTTTATTATAAATTGGGAAAAAGTGAGGTTAAATCCGTTGACAGTTGACAGATGTCAAATGTTTAACAAATAAAATTGGCTTTAAATACTTCTTTGTGTTCGTCGTAGATAAAGTATAGTATGCAACTCGGTTTATAAATTTCTTTAGACACTAGTAAACTCGTAACTAAAATGGCGTTTATAAAACTTGGTACATAAAACATAAAACATAATAAAATCATAATTTTTTCAAAAAACTTTGTACAAAGTGTACACTTTACAATTCCTAAGTATTTTGTGCCCATGATATTTATATTATGCTAGTGCCTACACGGTACTGCCAGAAACTATAGTAAACAATTATTTTTAATAGTTTATTTCTTCTTTATCGGCCATTCCAAGCCCATGGACAGGACACATCAAAACATGTCTAAATTATATTCTTGTTACTTCCTTAAGTTTACTTATTTTTTCTACGAGTATTTATGAGAAGTATTAGCCAACTTTGGCATAAATACTCGTAGAAAAAATAAGTAAACTTAAGGAAGTAACAAGAATATAATTTAGACATGTTTTGATGTGTCCTGTCCATGGGCTTGGAATGGCCGTTATGTAACTTTTACCCATTATTATATTTTATGGCTTATCTAAAGGCGAAGTTCCCTTTGAAACGCGAAATGACACTACCGGTGGCCTTGAAAAAACAAACGCGCAGCGGGATGTCAAGGTCATTAATGCGATCTGCAGAAATTGACAATTGACCTAGATCGTCTGCATTCTAAGAAAATTACCTTAATATCCTATACATTTAATAATTGTTTATTATTAAGAAGCATTGAATATTTTACGACCGTTTTACTTTTAACTTTTGACTGGAAAAATTTGTCTTAAGACTTGCAATGTAACATAAAATTAGTAAACTCCCAGTGAAAAAAAATGGTCGAATTATAATCAAGGAATCTCTTCTTTTTCCCACTAGTCGCACAATATACAATTTACGTTTCCAATTAAAAATGTACTACGTTTCTCAAACAATTTTTAAGAACTATACAGTTTTTAAAAACCGCAAGATTCAAAACTGATGAGAGATGGTGACGTGACGGTGTTATAACAGATGTGTCAAGAATTACGAATGAATTCAACATCTGTATCTAGCTTGGTATCCAGGTTATGTTTAATATTTCGTAATGTATTTAATTTCTTTAAAAATTCAGGAAAAGAATTTGAAACTTTAAAAATTATTTATGCCATCAAAGAATTTGGATATTTTAGGAATTTTAATTTTGCATATTTTGCATTCGTAAATTATAATTATAATTATAATTATAATTATAATTATACATACCAATAAGGTATAGTTTTTTAAGTGACTAGTCTATACATAATAAAAGTACTTTTACACCCATTTACATTACATAAATTATAGGAAAATATATATATAGGGTGAGTCATTTAACTTGAAAACTTTGAAATATCTCAGTTAGTATGTTTGAAATAAAAATTAAATGATTCGAGAAAATCAATCAGTACTAAAATTGGGGGTAAATGTAAAATTTCCAACGGATCACCCTATTTTTTATTGCAGATTCGGATCATTCGACTAAAAATATTTTTTATTTTTTGTCTAAAACATTTTTTCATATTTTTAATAGATGAAAAATAAATTTTGTTCGATTTTTTTTTTGTATATTCTGCAATAATTTTTCAATAAAAATATCACTTTTTTTGGTAATAATTATCTTATTAAATTAAATCTGATTTTTTTAAGTACCCACGATTTTTTATCTAATATTTAAGTTTCCTTTGGTTTAAGTTTTATACATTATTTCATTCGGTGATAATTCTTAATTGCGCACCATTGTTACTTTTTACCTGCCAGCATTAAATCCTTTAATTTAAAGGATTATTGTACTATTTTTAATAAAAATACCTCATTTAAGGTAAAAAATAACACATTATTTTGCCAATTAATTAATTTAATCCTAATTGAGGTACATAAAATGGTATTTAGTTTTAAATAATTATTATTGAGGTATAAAGAAACTATTTATAGTT